ATTGGGTTGTCCTTTAATTATTGAGTTTTAAGAGTTATTTATATATTCTAGATGCAAGTCCCTTAGCAGATATTATTTGCAAAAAAAAATGTTCCCATTCTTTGGCTTTCTTTTTTCACTTTCTTGATGGTGTTTTTGAAGCACATTTTAAATTTTGATGTTGACTTCACCTTTTTTCTTTTAATTCCAGTTAATTTACATATAGTGTAATATTAGTTTCAGGTATACAAGATAGTGATTTAACAATTCTGTACACATCACTTCGTGCTCATCATAAGTGCATTCCTTAATCCCTATCACCTATTTCACCCATCCTCCCACCCACATATTTTTTGTTACTTGTGTTTCTTTCTGATGTTATATCTAAGAAACAATTATTTAATCCAACGTCACAAAGATTTACACTTGTTTTCTTCTAAAAATCATTTGTAGCTTACATTTAGATCTTAATCCATTTGAAGTTAATTTTTTTTTTAAGTAAAAATGTATGGGGATGCCTGGGTGGCTCAATCAGTCAAGCATCTGCCTTTAGCTCAGGTCATGATCCCAGAGTCCTGGGATTGAGTCCCATATTAGACTCCTTGCTCAGCTGGGAACCTGCTTCTCCCTCCACCTGCTGCTCCCCATGCCTGTATGCATGCTCTCTGACAAATAAAATCTTTTTAAAAAAATATGCATGTGTTTAAATGTATCCAGTTGTCTGGCACCATTTGTGGAAAAGATTAACATTTTCCCATTGAATTGCTCCACCAACCTTGTGAAAAATCAATTGACAGTAAATGTGAGAGTTTATTTCTAGACTCTCAATTCCATTGCATTGATCTATAGGTCTATTCTCATGCCAGGACCACAATGTCTTCATTGTTATAGCTTCATAAAGTTTTGAAATTATGAAGTGTGAATCCTCCAACTTGTTCTTTCTTTTTTAAGACTATTTTGGCTATTCTGGGTTCCTTCAATTTCTATATGAATTTTAGGATGAACTTGTCACTTTTTGCAAAAAACAAACAAAAACCAAACCCAGCTGGGGTTTTGATCAAGAATGCATTGAATCTGTAGATCAGTTTGGGAAGTATGGCCATTCTAATAATGCAGTGTTAAGTTTTCTAGTCTGTAAATACAGGGTGTCTTTGCATTTATTTAGGTCTTCTTTTATGTCTTTCAACAATGTTTTGTAGGTCAGAGTATAAAGTTTTGCTTATTTGTCAAATGTATTCCTAAGTATTTTAGTTTTTTGATGTCTTGAGTCACTTTTACTAAGCTCTGCTTTTGTAGGTACTTATTTCACCAAAATTTTCCAACTTACTGTCATAAAGTTATTTATAATAGTCCTGAATTTGTCAGTGTTCAACCAGAGAAATAGAACTAGCAGGAAAATATATTAGATTTCTTGCAGGAATTCATTCACACAGTTGTGGAGATTAGAAGGCAAGTCTGAAACCCTAGATACAGAGTGTAGACCTCTAGAAAGGGCATGCAGGAAATCTGGCTTGAGCTGAAACTGCTGTCTACGGGTTTATTTCTTCTCCCTCAGGAGAGCCTCAGTTCTACTCTTTAAAGTCTTTCAACTGATTGAATCAGGCCCACCCAGATTATCTAGAATTATCTCACTTACTTAAAGTCACCTGATTATAATATAATCTGTAAAATACCTTCCTAGCAGTACATAGGTTAGTGTTTCACTGAATAACTGGCAGATGTGGCCAAGGCAATTGACAGACAAAACTGATCATGATAGGCCTCTTTCAAAAATCTGTACCATTGGGCGCCTGGGGGGCTCAGTGGGTTAAGCCGCTGCCTTCGGCTCAGGTCATGATCTCAGGGTCCTGGGATCGAGTCCCGCATCGGGCTCTCTGCTCAGCAGGGAGCCTGCTTCCCTTCCTCTCTCTCTGCCTGCCTCTCTGCCTACTTGTGATCTCTGTCAAATAAACAAATAAAATCTTAAAAAAAAAATCTGTACCATTTGTAGTTAATACATTCCTTTCTATTCCTAGTATCACTTATCACTCTTTTTCTATTATGATTAATCTTGCCAGATATTTTCCAAATTTGTCTTTCAAAGAACCAACTTTTGGCTTTCTGATCCCATTATGTTTATTTTCAATTCCATCACTTTATACCCTTTATGATACAGTTCCAAAGAATGTAGAAAATGGCATCAACAACAGCACCATCACCAGCAAAAGGCAACACTTCAAATTTTAGGCTTGAGTTGTTTGGTTTTCTTTTGGATTTTTGGGGTCCTTTTTTTATACCTTTTGGGACCATGAATTTGGACAGCATATCTACGTGAAAGAAAAAACACATGCACAGAAGAAAGCCCAATGACATACACCAAAATACTAACAGTGGTTACCTCCAGATATTAGGATTGGAGGGGATATTCCTCCTTATTCTTCCCGTATTAAAAAGTTGTACTTCTGGGGCCTCTGGGTGGCCGTTGGTTAAGTGTCCAATTTCAGCTCAGGTCATGATCCCAGGGTCCTGGGATCAAGCCCTGCGTCCCTGCGTCGGGATCCCTGTTCAGCAGGGAGTCTGCTTCTCCGTCTCCCCCTGCTTGTATTCTCTCAAATAAATTAATAAAATCTTTTAAAAATTATGACTTCTAGTATAATGTATATATGTTGAAAACTAATATAAACTAATAATATAAATTAATATAAAACTAATAGAATACTGTATGTCAACTAGAACTAAAAAAATGTATACACTTTTAATTAAATGAGATGCAGGATTTTTAAAAAGATTTTTTCAATGCAGGATTCTTGATTGATCCTAGATTGGGTGGTTGGCAGGGAAGGAAGACTAAAGGATGCTTTAGGGGAAATTTTAATATGAAATGCATCTTAGGTAATAATACTCTTCTGTTAGATTTCTTTGGTATAATATATTGTGGTTACGTAAAAAAGAATGTCTTTGTTCTTAGGGGACACATCTTGAGGCACGGAGGGGTGAAATATCATGATGCATATTTCAAATGGCTTGGGAAAAACTCTATTTATAAAGCATATATTGCAAAATGTCACCAGTAAGTCAATCTTCAGATAAAGGGTGTATTATGTTCACTGCACTACTTGAAATTTTCCTTAGGTGTGAAAATTTTCAAAATAGAAACCTGAGGAAAAATTACATACTTCTATAATAAAGCAGTTGGAAAACAAGAAAGACCCATCAGACAACCAATCACTGATTAAGATACTTTCTACATGGATGGGTCACATCTTTTTGTCTACTGGGATCTGTTTCATGTTGGTGACAGTGGCTCACCACAGGCTGCTGCACTGATACGATAGGCTGTAGATTACCACAGCCCACAGAGGTGGCAGGCATAACTCAGTGCTCACTCACTTGCTCTCTGGAATAATCAGATGATGCTCTTTTGATGAATATAAAGTATAAAAAGAACCTCCTCTTTGAGAAGTTTTTACTATTTCACACAAAGAATGAAATTAAGCAAATGGCTATATTCTATAGCACATAACAAGCTCAGAATGGGCAATATTATTGATATCATGATGGTGGTTAATATATTCATTCACTTCCATTTCCATTTTCCCACTCTTAAGTCCCAATTCTCTGAAAAAAAATTCTTTTTAAATAATTAATCTTATATAGCAAAGGAATAAAGGTAATGTTTCTTGGTTTTCAAGTTTTGATTTAAAATTTAAACCAAGTCAATACAAAAATGTTCCTTCAATGAAATAAAAGGCCTTTTTGGGACACCTGGGTGGCTCAGTTGGTTAAGCCTCTGCCTTCAGCTCAGGTCATGATCCCGGGGTCCTGGGATCAAGTCCCACATCAGGCTCCTTGCTCGGCAGGGAGCCTGCTTCTCTCTCTGCCTCTGCCTGCCACTCTGCCTGCTGTGCTCTCTTGTGCGTTCTCTCTCTCTGACAAATAAATAAAATCTTAAAAAAAATAAATAAATAAAAACACCTTTTTCTTTTTCTTCAAATCCTTAGTATTATCAGGTTCCTATGGAACCGTAATAGCTGAAGGACTATATCCTATGTACAACAAATAAGTTGAGGAAATAAAAATAAATGTATGTCTACAAACATATTTTCTAAAGTATTATAAACTTTTACCTCAAGTTCTTGAAATAAAAATTCATACAGTATTCAGAACGAAATCAAATGATGAAGCAACATTAAATACCCAATAGCATAACCAATAACAGCCAACATCTATATAAAACATTACTATGTACTAGGAACTAAGTGCTTTTATCTCATTTAATTCCCATAACCCTAAACTGGGTACTATTATTATACCCATTTTACAGATGAGTAGTCAAAGGCTAGAAACTTGTCCAAGGTTTATTCGGCTGGTAGGTATTACAGGGAGTCTTCAGACCCAGGTTGTTTGGCTTTGAAATCTGTGCTCCTAACCACTGCACTATAATGTCTCTCTATACTAGCTACTAATTAAAAAGTCAGAACTGTATTCCTTCCTAACCTTAGTCATCATGATAAAGAGTACCTTTGACTTCTACGTATCTGAATTTTCAACATATTATATTCCTTCCAACATATAATACCATCCTCAATTCTGAGCCACCTGATTTATTTTTATTACAACCATCCCCTCCATCCCCACCCCTATGTACTCTGCTCTCATTAAGTGGCTGCATTTATATTAAACTCTGCTTGGAATAATAACCAAAAATACATGAAATAATTAAATCTTATTTGTTCAAAATTAAAGAGGAGTTCAACACTTTCCCGAACGCTTCAACTACTCTCTTATCAAGGCTTCAAAGACTTGCTCAGGAAAGTACTGCTGATGATGATAACCAGAGTATCTTACCAAGAACACATTATGCCCTGGGCTGAAATACTATCAAAACAGTACCCTCAATCTTCTTTTCCATGTATATGATGCTTAGCATGATGGGGATGATGATGGAAATTATGGCAATAAATATAAACTGTATTTTCTAGAAACATTTTCATTTCATGGAAATACAATGTTAAGACCACAGCAAGCTAAATATGGAAACGAGAAAGTCATTTATTTTTTAAAAACCAGGCAATACAAAGACAACTGAAACCCATATATGAAGAAATTTCTGAAACAAACAAAAGAAAAAAGTCTCATCTACAAAATTATTTACATGTTTAGGGTTCATATTAAAAACATGGTCCCTAGTTCAGTATAGATATAGAGAAGAGTCTATGATAACAAATCTGGAAGACGACTTCTGTAGTACTTCTCCCTACATGACATAAACCGAACGAGGAAACCCCTTGAAGGTACTTCAATGTTCAGAGGTTTTAAGATCTTGGCTTTGATGATTTTAAAGGTAAGAAACAACATCAAACTGGCTTCCATTAGGACACGCCAGTGGCTTCACATCAGTGACTAATCACAGTGTTTCTCAACGTACCTCCATTTGGGAACAGAGCAATCTAAAGAGATGACAGTTTTTACACATGCCCTGTTACCTACACCAATATAAACACTACATTATCTTATGAAGACAGATAGTTGTCACTAAACTCTCAAAAATATATAATGAGTTTTCTAAGGTTTTTTTTTTTTTTTTAAAGTCCAGGTTCATCAATGATGAATAAAAAATCCATTACCCACTTTCCCACTTTCTTTAACTCTATTCCTGCTTAAATGCAAAAGCTGACAGCTTCTGATTGGTTGAAAGATCTAAAGGTTTTTGCTTTTTAGGCAAATTCAGATTCTCCTTTGCTTTTTCCTTCTCATTTTCAGTTTCATAACTTTCATCAACCACATGTTTTCGCTTCTTTGCTTCAGCTCCATCACTTGTAGTTCCTCCTTTGGCCTTGGAAGCCCATGCCTTTGTAAAAATATGGGAGGAGAAAAGATTTTTAGGCAGTAACAAAGAAATAGGAAGGAAATGATTTCCTTTCTTTTCCAGGTAAAAATCCATATATAAAAGAGCAGTATTTTTTTAAAAAAGCAGCATAATTAGCACTTGAATTGTTAAGCTAATCATTAAGGATTCTCATTGTTAACAGATCTTTTACTTAATTGCAGAACACATTAAAAAATTTTCATTCTACCTCTAACATTTCAATCTAAACTCTGCTTGTATTTAACCATATTAAGTGCAAAATACTATAACAGCAGCTACTTTTTAAAAAATGTAACTTTTTGAGATTATTTACAAGCAGTTGTAGGTAACAATACAGAAGGATCTCGTGTACCAGTTTCCCGGTTTACCCCAATAGGAGCATCTTGCAAAACAAATGTAGTATCACAATCAGGGTACTGACATCAATACAATTCCTCCCTTTTTTATTTCTACTCCTATGTGTGTTGTGTATATTTAATTCCAATGTAGATTCCACGTTCAAGATACAAAACAGTTCCATCATTATAAGGATCCCTCATGTTGCCCCCAAAACCTACACTTCCCACCCAGGTCCCCACTCCTGGTAATTAGTGCTCTGTTCTTCATCCCTATCACTTTGTCATTTCAGGAATGACATTTCAGATATTCTTTTAGGACTGGCTTCTATTCACTAAGCAAGAACCTTACGAAGTTCAATCGTTTCCATTTGTCTCTTATTGACTGACTGAATGACTGATTTTTTTAAGGAGGTTCCACACCCAGCATGGAGACCAACGAAGGGCTTGAACTCACAACCTTGAGATCAAGAACTGAGCAGAGATCAAGAGTCAGATGCTTAACTGATTGAGGCACCCAAGCGCCCCTCCATCAGTCTCTTAAATCTATTTTAATATGTAATAGTTCCTCCTTCTTCCACTTTGCTTCTTTTCCCGTTTCTTTACTATAGAAAAGGAACCCTTTGAAGCTGCAGAATTTCTCACATTAACAGACTAGATTTAAGAAAACGTTTAAGGTTTACCTTAACAATACTGATTACATTTTTAAGTATTCAAATACACAATTACAACCTTTACCAAGTCTCTTCCTCTTCTGCTGCATAAGACCATTCAAATGCCATTTTATCTAATTCTTTAGAATTTCTATCCTCTTATAAATTCTTGTAAAAAATGAGAAGCATGAAGTTGCCAGTGAAATTCTAATAAGGCTAGAGGTGGTTAAACCAGTTTCTAGCCTCCTCATTTTGTAATACACTTTACTCTTAAAACCCAGTTTATCGAGGCAGGTATCTATTTCACCAGGTGCCCATGCTGTGTACTGTCAGCCCTGGGGAAGTGAAATCTGAGCATTTAACTGATATGCCCCGAACATTCCTTCCCCTTGCACCAGCAAGCTGCTCCCAGCCCTCCCTCACATGGCAGAAATTACATGAGGAGCAATAGGTACCAGCCACCTGTCTTAATTTCTAAGTGAAAGGCTATAATAGAACACTACCTTTTCTCCCCAAAAGCAGTATTCTCATTTTTGGTTTTTTGGTTTTTTTTTTTTCCTTAAAGTAAGCTCTATACCCATAGTGAGGCTTAAACTCACAATCCCAAGATCAAGAGTCACATGCTCTACTGACTGAGCCAGCCAGGCAGTCCAGTATTCTCACTTTGTATTCAATGTGGAAGTACACAGCATTTTAAAAAATTCTTCTTAAATTACAAGAACCTTAAAATCCAAACATGTGAATTTCATTTTTACTTATTCACTTAGTTTGCTTTTGATTTAGAAGTAATGTACTTTTTCTTGGAGTAGCCTACTAACTTGCATTGTATAGGAACTTATATACAGATATAAACAGTATATTTGCCCCAAATTTAACCCCTGGCACTAAATAATAATTATTACACACCCATACAGTCAAAGCTGGCATTTCAGTTATTTAATTCCCTCTCAACCAAGAGTTTACCAGAAGATCTGCAATTTCCAAAAACAGAAAAAGGGAATTTTCTGTAAGAATTTTTAAAACCTGGGAATTTAATAAGATCTCAATCTCAGTAAATTATCCTTACCTTCCTTTCTTCAGCTGACAATACTCTAAATCGCATCATTCCTTCTTTTATTATGTCTGCTTCATCTGAAAAGTCAGGATTGTCAGACAAAATACTACTTCTGTTTTCTTCCAGCCACATCTGGAACCCAGTCTTTGGCCTAAAATAGCAATTATGTGAAAAACATTTTATACTTCAAATGCAGTTTAAAGTGCTTTATGATTTTTCAGGTTAGTAATGAACCACTAGTCTTTGCATACCTATATAAAGTAAGAGAGACACAATTAAATTTTTTTTTTAAGATTTTTTTTTTTTTTTTTTTTTTGACAGAGCACAAGCAGGGGGAACAGGAGAGGGAGAAGCAGGGAGCCTGAGGCCGGCTTGATCCCAGGCCTCTGGGATCATGACCTGAGCCGAAGGCAGACACTTAACCAACTGAGTCACCCAGGCGCCCCGAGAGACACAATTAATTACATCTGTTAATATTCATACTACATATTACCCTGGAGACCATGGGAATAACGAACTGAAAAATCCCTTGTAAGATCAATTCAAAGATTTTACTTATATTTGTATTTTCCAAGTGGAGCAACCATGAACTCTACACTTTCAGCTCTTTTTAGAATACTTATACGTGCAAGATCTCCAATTCCCCTCAGCCCTGCTGGGCCAGTAAAATTTTTCCAAGTATCCTTGGTGGGTTCTCTTTCCATTTCCCAAACCAGCTATTTGAAATTTTTATTTCTCTCAAGATCCTTACCCAACCTCTCTCTGCTCTCATAGCTGACCTGGGAGTGGGGGTCCTTTCTTGTGCAACTATTATGTAAAGCATAAACACAGCACACTTGTCAATTTCATTAGCCTTTACTTCTGATACAACTGTCTTTAGGTCATAAGCAAAGGTTTAATGTAAATACTTAATATTTACAAAAACAATGAATACTGTTATGCTGAAAATAAATTTAAAAAATGATTTAAAAAAACCATTTAATATTTACTGAGCACTTACTTTGCGCTAGGCATTGTTCTAAAAGCCTCCACCCTATGACGTAGGTGCAATTACTATCTCCATTCCATAGATGAGGAAATTGAGGCTCAGAAATGTGAAATAACTTATTCCAGATTACACAGCAGAAATCAGACCCGGGATTGAACAACTTGGCAGTCTGACTCTAGCGTCCCCATGCTTAACACATCATCTCTACTACTGCCCCACACTACTATGTAACCAAATGGAGCCTGAATAATAAATTTAAGGACACAGCAAAAATTAGATGCAAAAATACCACGGAAAAACGTTTATGATAAAATTTTAAATGGAACCAGAAAGACAGGATATAACATTATAGCTCTAATACAAATCTCATTAAATATAACAACTTAATTTTACTAAAAAAAGATTAGAAGGGAAGAATTACCTTTATGAGTAATTGCGGGATTTTGCCTAAACTTTTTAATTTTTAGAAAAACAAGCTATTAAAAAAATATTATTAGTCTGGCTAGAACTACTTGCCCAATTTCTGGAAATATCTTAATATAATTCTACTTTCAGAAAAATAATAGAGCAAATAAAAACAAATAGCAACACTAAACAAAGGTTCTTGAATTTCTAGAAATTAATATTCATTTTAATCAAACTTGGGGCAAGTCTAGCTAATAGCATACAATCTCCCCCCAAACAGCTGTTGTTCAAGAGAAAAACAAAATTGAACATTTCTCTTCTGATTAAGTATATCAACATTTGTGACAAAATATTTAGTTAAGGGGCGCCTGGGTGGCTCAGTGGGTTAAGCCTCTACCTTTGGCTCAGGTCATGATCTCAGGGTCCTGGGATCAAGCTCCACATCGGGCTCTCTGCTCAGCGGGGACCCTGCTTACCCCTCTCTCTCTGCCCGCCTCTTTTCCTAGTTGTGATCTCTCTCTCTCTGCCAAATAAATAAAATCTTTAAAAAAAAAAAAATTTAGTTAAGCAGTGATAATTCTTTAATGAAATTTCATATAAGTAAGTTTTATGTATAGCTCACTGATAATAAAAAAAATGGAATCTTCTTAAATAAAATCTTCATCATTTAATATCTGATTTGAATTTGGGACAAAAATGGGAAAAATAAAAACCAAAGCTACTCCTCAAATTAAATTGGTTAACATGAGTGGCACCTGGCTGGCTCAGTTGGTAGAGCATGCAGCATTTGAACTTGGGGTCATGAGTCTGAGCCCTACGTTGGGTATAGAGATTACTTAAAAAATAAAACCTTTAAGGGGCACCTGGGTGGCTCAGTGGGTTAGTATCTGCCTTTGGCTCAGGTCATGATCTCAGGGATCCTGGGACTGAGCCCCATGTCAGGCTCCCTCCTTAGCGGGGAGTCATCTTCTCCTTCTCCCTCTGCCCCTCCTCCCTGCTTGTGCTTGAGCTCTCTCTCATAAGAAAATAAATAAAAATCTTAAAAAAAAAAAAA